AAGGTGTATAACAATTGTATAATACATATATTTTTAAAATAACGTTGAGAAAGGCAATGAAATAAATAGATTTCTTTTTGTATATATATTTTAAAAAGAGTACACTTTAAAAGTGTTTAAAAACATTGTAAAACTGTTGGTAAATGAATATAAAACTACATTTTTTTCTATTTGAATCAAATTTACCCGATTATTTAAATTAATATCATTTCATATGCTTTTCATGACATGATATTTCTCTGAGTGTGGGAAAATTCTGAACTGGACCACATAAATCTCGAGTTTCTTCTAAATCTGGCACCGGGTTGCCTCGTGCAAATTTTTTTTATAGTACAACAACTCATCATCTCCTTCCCACTTTGCCCAATAATGTTTTACTTGCAATATTTTGACATTATCAGCCTTTTCTTGCTTTACCTTTTCGTCTTATTATGGTATAATAGCATAAAATAAACAAGATAACTTTTTTTATAATTCTTAAAACAATAAAACGTAGATTTACCTATTTTAAATATATTTTTAAGTGCAATTTACTGCAATAGAACTTAACAGTATGTACCAGTAAAAAAACACAAAGTTAAATCTCTAAAATACGTTATAACATCAAATGTTAGGATATCAGGTGACACAAATTACTAATTTCTAATGGTGGAATTGGAGATTGTATACTGCAAATCTATCAGTGAAGATTGTCGACTTTGCACTAAATGTCATTTTTAAAATAGGATTTTAAGCAGGATTTATCTCCTTTTGCAGCACATAAACTTTATCATCTTATATATAATTAGTTGAAGTATAGTCTCTGCCAAAAATCTAATTTTTGACCAAAAGTAGAGATTGTCGGTTTTGCTATGACAGGCCTCAAATATATATACTTAAAAAAGTCTATTATTTTTAACCAATAGCTGTTCAGCTAAACAGAAAGGAGATAATGGTACGAGTTAAAAAACAAAATGTTTGAAATAAATCCAAGATTAATGCAAACAGTGTATAAACAAAGTGTTTTAAAGTTATGACCAAAACAATATTTTGAGTTACCCCTATATAATATAGCCTAAACATAAGAATCGGATGAAAAATAACTTGGCCAAAATTTTAGATTTTTTATATAAAGTTTAGACGAATTTCCTCTATTATGCAGATTCAACATTTTCTGTTTGTTTCTTTCGCAGTTTTACAAAATCTTAATATAGAGTGCGCTGCTATGTTATGGTCAAAAATATAATCAGGAATTCCTGATTTAAAGATGCAAAGGACAAAGCGTTTATACCATATAATTAATTAATGATTGATATTTATTGAAAAAAAATCACAATTACATTATTTACCATGAAATCGTCTGATAACATCGTTTTAGGTTTTAGGAGGTTCTTCTTGTTTCATGTACCGCCGACTGTTGGAGTGAAGAATGTTGAAGTTTCGTACATTTTTCATTTCAGGAGTATTTTTTTTTCAGAATAATTTGATTATATCGGAGGTTAATTATGTTTTTTATTATAATATCATGCACTGGCCATATTGGGAATATGTGAATTTTGAGGGATGTTTTGTTAAATCATGTAGTTATTACACTCAGAGAAATATCATGTCCTGAAAAGCATATGAAATTATATTAATTTAAATAATCGGGTAAATTTGATTCAAATAGAATTTTTTTTAGTTTTATATTCATTTACCAACAGTTTTACAATGTTTTTAAACACTTTTATTGTGTACCATCTTTAAAATATATATACAAAAAGAAATCTATTTATTTCATTGCCTTTCTCAACGTTGTTTCAAAAAAATATGTATTATGCAATTGTTATACACCTATTAATTTAATGGGAAACGCCAATGACGCCAAAACATATTTGAATCCCTTTGAATTATTATAGTTTTGAATGATTCTACAACATTTTTTCTCTCAGTGTATATTTAACGATGAGCCCTCACGTTGACGTGATTTGATAAGTGTACTGTAAACACGGGTGACTTTGCACCCCGCGGGTGACTTTAGCCCTTTTATGAAAAAAATTTTCGCGCTCGATAAAATTAACATTTATAATTTGTTGGTCTAAACCTGTCAATTGAGCGATTCTATTGAGTTTATATTACAGGAAAATCAGTGTTTTAAAACAATAAATGGGATTTTATACACTTTAAAGTTTATTGTTTTTATCGGTAATCCCTTGCAATTGCTATATGGGCCATTCCACGCTTAACGGATAGGACAGTTGCCGTGTTTTTATTTGCAAAATAATATTGTTCTATTATATTACCAATGTCAAATTTTTATAAATAGTTCTAAACTAAAGCTGTTTAACAAGGTTTTTATTTGGCAAAATTAGGTATCGTGGTTGACTGTTTAATTCCTTAAAAACTAATAATTTAAAGCGTAACGGACGAGACTTTGTAATATATACTAACTATTTCCGTGGAAAAGTGAAAGAACTAAAAAAACAAATAGTTTTCTAGTAATTTGTTAAACAAAAAGGAACCACCTTTAAACAAAAAGGAACCACATTTTTTTTGAACTCAAAATTGAAATTATAGTTTTTTGGGCGATTTGATATGAAACCCTCTTAATACAGGGTGATTCAAAACTCTAGGCGAAAAAATAAGAAATGTATACAGTTTTATATTCTTGATAAAAAATTTCAAATAAAATTTTTGGAGATATGGATTTGTTTCCGAGATATTAGACTTCAAAGAATTTGCATGTGATCAATTTTTAACTTTATTACATAATATTAAAATATAAAAAATAATTAAATCAAATGTTCAAAAATACCACCATTAGCACCAATACATGCTTGGTATCGCAAAATAAGCGAATCGTACACTAATTCCATGTCTTGCCTATTTTGAGTGCATTCGACTGCATTAATAATTTGTTCCATTAATTGCTCTTGGTTATTAATTTCCACTGCCTAAACCAGTTGTTTTAAATGGCCCCATAAAAAATAGTCCAAAGGGTTTAAGTCAGGTGATCTCGCAGGCCATAGCACCTGACCACGCCGACCAATCTATCTCCCATTAAAAGTTTGGTTTAACCAGGCCACAACATTGCGGTGGTGCTCGGTCGTGCTGATACGATTGTATACCAAATCCACAGGAAAAATCTTCCAGAAAATTTGTGAGATCGTTTTCTTAAAATTGCAAGTACGCATATGCATCCAAACGATTAGGAAGGACTTGAATCGGAAATAATTGTCCGTTAAAGATTTTCATTTTGTTCATTCAAGAAGCCATTGACAAAAGGCGAGTCGTTGCATGTTATCTTCTGGGTGCAAATTATATACTTTTTGTTTATGAAATGGATGTAAAACTTCGGTTTTAAAGGTTCTACAAGCAAAACTTACGATACATTAAGACGGGCAGCAATGCGTCTGGTACTAATTTCTGGATTATAATCCAGTGTGAGGGAAGAAGAAGTGATAGATTGTGTGCTCGATATATCGAGCACACAATCTATCACTTCTTCTTCCCTCACAGCATCATAATTATTTCGGGTAGCACCACCAGCACCAGTACGGGAATTACCAATTCCAAACTGTCGTATACGACTATATAGCCTTTGATAAACGTCGGAAAACACCCGGCGAGATGGTTGTCGTTTATTAGGAAATCTTTTGTTGTACTCCCGACAAGCTTTTAATGCATTGCCATCACAAAAACCGTACACAAAAATAATATCTGCATATTCTTCGTTAAATTTGTAAACAATTAAACTAACTTATTTCTAGACTTTTATTATTATTTATGAAATTAAATTGGTCGCATACAGAAACTTTAAAGTCTAGTATTTCGGAAAACAGCCATATCTCCAAAAATTTTATTTTTTATCAAGAATATAAAACTATACATTTCTGAATTTTTCGCCTCGAGTTTTAAATCACCCTGTATAAGCTTTGCCGTTTCTCCATTGCATGATGTAAGAATGTTGGGTAATATTTAATATCACCAAACATCTTAAGACTGGATAGGTCAATAATATTAGTATTGGAGGCCAAAAGCCTAAATGGATTTTAAAAATTTGGCTCAATTTCAAAAAATATGGCTTTCTGAATCCACAAATAAACGTTGTTCATTTCCACTTAAAGATTATACAATTGTAGAAGAGGCAGTAGTTCTTTGAACAATTATTACATGTTGTACCTACAACAATTGACATATTAGTGTTTTTGTGATGCATAGGAATGTTAACATACCTATGCATCACAAAAACACTAATATGTCAATTGTTGTAGGTACAACATGTAATAATTGTTCAAAGAACTACTGCCTCTTCTACAATTGTATAATCTTTAAGTGGAATAATTATATGTATATTAATGATAAAAATACGGGCCGAAGTCTAATTTTTGGTGTTTCTCAGGATCTGATGTATAATAATGGACCTTTTTCATTTGCAAATTATTATTTAAACTTTTACCGACACCAGTGGCGGCTGGTGGATTTTGGGTATACCAATATCTCAGTTATTAGCTTAGAAGTTTTTTCTTCTAAGGTTATTAGACATGGGCCCACACCAAATTGACATAATTTAAATTGAAGTTGCGAAAAAAGTTAGTTTTTCGTGTCGCCTCACCCGCCTCCTGGCCCCCCTATTTAAGATAATTCAAATTAAAGTATACTATAGTGCAATTTATAATCTACTATATAGTAAAATCTGTTATATTTTGTTTAAAAAATCCAAATATAACAGATTTTAATTTCACATTCATTTCAAATATGTTTTATTTAAAAAAAAAAATTAAAATCGTATCAAATCTGTAATTGGATTTTTTTTAAATTTGTTGATAAATTATAGTAGATTATAAATAGCAGCACTTTAATTTGAATTATCTATTATAAATTTTCTGTGGGTCCCATGTTTAACTGAGATATTGTTATACCCAAATTCACCAGCCGCCACTGACCTACAAGTTTATTAGTCAAAACTACTTATATTGACCCGATCACCCGATGACCCTCTTAAGTCTGCCACAATTATAAATAAAATAAAATTATCTTACCAAGTTATTTCGGTCCCTTCCGTATATTCATGAAGTTCCACAGAGAGAATAATGTTGCTATGTTCATTGGCATATATGCATTGTAAGCCTTCGTTTCGAAATCGTGGTGGTAATTTTATATCTTGCGCTGAAAAAGTTTTAGTTGGTTTACTTAATATAAAAATTAAATTAGAACACACTAACATAAATAAAAATCTTTATATATTATTTATTTCTACTGAAAATTTATTGAATAGGGTTTTATTAGTAACTTTTAGAACTAAATTGCAAATAAATTTAAGAAAGGAGTAAATTGACAGATAATAAAAGTGGTTATTTACATACAGTCATTGTATTTAAGTGTGTTTATATAAATATACATAGTTAATTTTGAAAAAAGTGTTCTAAAATAAAGAAAGTGTCAAAAAACTAAAAAAAGTCAACCGGGCAATGAACCGAAATAAGAATAAAAAACAAATTAAAACCATAATGTAATTAAAAGCAACATTTTATGTTCAAAATTAATTTGTTAAGGGTTTTTTTCCCAATGCATCGCGATGATAGAATATCAGCGTCTTATGCAAACACAAAAAATATAACAAAAACTCGCCCGATAAAGCAAAAACACTGCGCTCTCATTTATGGCTTTAAAAATTAAATAACCCCAGCAATTTTTTCAAATTAGAGAAAATGGTTAAGAACATTTTGTCTTAGATTTTCGCCCTTTCGTTTGGTCCGGTGATTTTGGCACACTCTGTATACCAATTACATAGGTGTCATTGTCAAAAATTAATTAATTTAAGAAAATTAAAAGTGCCTAAAGATAAACTTAATTGCCGCGCCTCTTAATTAATCCAATCAAGCATAGTTTTGGCCTTTTGGCGCCTTTTTCGAAAATAAACTAAATTTAATTTAACAGTAAATTATATTTTAAAATTTTAGCAAAAATTGTAAACGCGTAACCGCGGTTGACATTGGAAAAATAGTAAATATATTTTTTGTAGGAATTTTAGTTTTATATGTACATATAGGTTAGTGGTTTTTCGGGATCTGCTCCGTGTTGTCGGTTTTTGGTTCTTAACCGTATGTCTGACGACTTTCGGTACAATCTCATGTACCATCTTCAGGTCTTATCTGCTGGGCTGCTGTTGCTGCTCTGCTGCGAGTTAGACGTAGAAGATACATTTATTTTTGTTGATATAATTTATATGAAGTTGTCCAGACAAAATATGTATTTATAGTTCTTTAAAACGTAGAAAATATGTTAGGAGGGGTAAAAGGTCTTTATGGGAACCGCCAAGATAAGCTTGGCAAACGCACCCGGGAGATAGAGTTTGATTTGTCGTGAGACAAGTTGAATCTCTGAATTGATTTTTGATTGACTATTGTTGGTCTAGCGGGTCGCGGATCGTTGGTTTCCTTTTTTATAGCCAATAGTTAGTTTGGGACGATTATAATAATAATTATTATAATAATTATTATTAATTTTGTGTTCTGTGCGGATTTATCTGACGTTGGTTTACTTTTTTATAGCCAATAGTTAGTTTGGGACGATTATAATAATAATTATTATTAATTTTGTGTTCTGTGCGGATTTATCTGAACACGTGTTTTATTAAATAACCCGATTTTGATTAAACTATACATTACTAAATAGTTTGTAAATGAGTAAGTAAATATATATCAAATATACCAAATTCTTTAAAAATGTCCAGGCAGAATAACCCTAAGTCGCCCTCGTTAATCTCTGACATTCCTACATATATATATATACAAAATATACCAAATTCTTTATAACCTTTTTGGAAGTCAAATTTTTCAAATTAATTATTTAAGCTGCTCACGGTTCGTCCAAATAACATTTATATTTGAAAAAATTCTCCAAGTTTAGGGTTTATCTAGGGTAATTTCTATTATAATTTTCTTTCAAATTTTGCTTGAATCAAAATTTTTCGCCGATTAGTTTTTTTTATTGATATTTATTGAAAATTAATATTAAAAAATTATTTTTTTTTGGATAAACAGTAAGTTTTTAGTTTAATTAACTGCTAGTTGGGATATTTATTAATAAAACCACATTTTTTAAAGTTAAAACAAACTTAATTTATAAAAAAGAAAAAAATTACAAATGAACACTATTGTAAAAACAAACGGAGCTTAACATTTTTTTTGAAAATTCCGGGTGATGTTTGGGAACTCGGTATCTTTCCCATACTTTTTTAAAGTCGGCATGGACGGCCTCCGAAGCTTGTTCGCTAAATTTCCCCAATCCGCGATTTTCAAATAAACAAAATTTATGAATATGAAAAAATATGGCATGAATTTTTGGAGTCAAGTTAATTCCCAATTCCGAGAAGTCTTTACGAAATTGTTGTATCTTTTCGTAAAAATCCATGTCCAAGTTGCTTCCAAAACATGATTTTACCACCAGTTCAAAAGAAGATAAGCATTTGACAAATTTTAAACCATTTATTGGAGCAATTGCACGCAATGAGTCAACTTTTGAAAGAAGCAAACGGTAGGAGTTTCCAAACTGAAGTAGTAAATTAAAACAGGCACAAGAAATTGTTAGGTACCTCCATGAATAGCTTCTCTTTATACATGGCAAATTGCAGTCCATTTTTGGCAAATTTCGGGAAGCTCTTTAAGCATAGCGTTTTAAATCGTATACGATTAATATATTAACCGTACCCAACAACAAGTGTAATTCTGGCGGAGAGGAGGAAATATACAACCACCGAAATTTTTTAACGTTTGTCGTTTACTTCCACAAGTCAAATACTGTTCGTGGTTTTGTATGTTTGTTTTAAAAGTTCTCAAAGTACCACTGTTAAACAAATGATACTTGTCAACATCACACCAAGTACAAGGATTTATGGAGCAATGAGACATTATTCCCGTAAGTATGTTGGCAAGCTTTAAATCAGTTGCAATATACAATTTGCCAACATCATTTTAAGTCCCATTGTTTTTTAACGTTATTATAATTTTCTTGGACATCGTGCACTATACCAATTATGAATAGTTTTTTCACTCCAGAATCTTTTATTCTCTTGTTGGTACAACATTCTTCCACGTCTTTTTCTTGTATACTTAAACATATTTTTAAACAACCTCCGCCTCCATCTATGCCTACTTTAAGGATTACTTCTTCTGCAGAACATTTTCTTTCTCTCGTTACAAAACATATAAAATCACTCACGTTGTTACAAAATACCGTTGTGTTGCTAGTAGAAGTTTTAACAGTGTGATTGGCTTCCATCACCTATTCTACATTAGTATCGAAAAAAGAATCTGCAGAATGATATGTTGCACATAATTTTGTTTTTAAGTTTGATTCAATCAGTTTGGATACAGTTCCTGAAGCTTTACGCAATTCCGATGCCAGTTTTATTGTTTTATTTATACTTAGATTTAAAGATAATTGAATTTGTGATACATTTTCCGCTGATAATTTTGTGTCATTGGTCTGCATAAGTTTTTTGAGTTTTAAACTCACATCAAGTGACCGTCCTGAAGCCGTTGACAAAGCAAGAGAACTGTCGCTAGTTAAGTTTTGTCGAGATTTTAAAACTAGTTCTGCCACTTTTTCTTGCGATTTGGGTGATCCGGTAATTGTTAAGGCATTTAAATATTTGCGACCTTTAGTGCAATTGTGGGCCTTGCCTCTGGAAATCACCGTTAAACAATGATTGCATATTTTAGAATATTTTTCATTCTCAATCTTTTTAAACATTGGCGGACGACCAAATAACTTTTTTTTTTGGGTACAAATTGTTTTGTCCAGGAATAGGTGTAGATCCAGCCACTTTACAAATTGTACAATTACATATTTTATGATTCCTTGTAATGGTTTCAGGGCAAACGCACAGTTTTGAGTAATCAACTTGTTTAATTTTTCGTTTAAAAATACCTTTTCCGTATTCCTCAACCGCCAATATGCACGTACCACACAGTCCATTTGGAAATTTGGCATCGTTAATGTCATAGTCTTTCAAAAAGTGTGCTTTGATTATTTGTTGCTGTTTTTCATTTACTTTTCGCATAGTTTTCATTTGTCCAAAACACAATACACATACAATTTTTCGGTTTTCTCCATGGTTCTTCATTTTTAAGCAAAAGCAACACCTTTTAATTAAGTCTTGATATTTGTTTTCATTGTCAATAATTATGTTTCCATAGTAACCTCCTATTCTGATAGCATAGCACATTTGGAAATGAAAATAAAATAGTTTAAAAAGTGATGCTTTTGCGGTTATGTTCGCACTTTGTCCATCCATCTGTCTGTCTGTATCCACTACTATTTTTTGTCAAAAAGCTTTTTTTTTGTTTTTTGGTTATTTAAAAAGCTATTGCTTTAGCAACAGTATGAATAATAAACACTCATCTCTCTGCAAGCAACCGTTCAACCCTGTATACATTTAGCGTGCTAAATAATATTGCTAAATCCGAATTAACAGGTGATTTATACTATAGACTTTTTAAAATAAATTTAAAATACATTCAGAACTAAATGAATGCAAATATACTATTTTTAAACGTATAATTTACAATAAAAAATACTTTCAATCACAAAAATTTTTTTTGATAAAAAACTAATCGGCGAAAAATTTTGATTCAAGCAAAATTTGACAGAGTATTATAATATAAATCACCCTAGATAAAGCTTAAACTTGGACAATTTTTTCAAACATAAATGTTATTTGGAAGAACCGTGTGCTGTAGTCTCTAATACTCTCTATTAACAGGGCCGGCCGCGGCCCATAGAAACCAATAATTAAATTAAATGTTTCGCGTCGGACTCAATATGTGTTTTTGTACTGGTACCTATTTATTGGGTTTTATATGTTACCAAACGGTTTTAAGGCTAAATGGGAAACACAAACAATCAAATTCTCCAATTACCAATTTACCAGATTTCAACATAAATTTAATAATATTTATATCAATAATAGTTTTTTACAATCATTTCATTTGTTAGTTATCAAAAACAATTAAAATTTGTAAAATATTTAAATATTTTAATCAAAATAAAATTTTATTTTTATTTAATTAATTTTTTTTTATTTATACTTAATAAATAAGATAAATGATATTTTTCTAAATAAGATATATTATATTTATCTATACATATTTCTCTACATTAAA